TTTAAACAAAGCTAAATCTTACTCAGATGCCTTTTAACCATTTTAAGGCAAGGCTTTTAAGGGAGAAAACCCAAGCAGGGTGACCAGATGCTGATATTCATACACAATAAAAGGTGGTACCCTTCCTTTCATGCATCTTGAAGCAGCTATGGACAATTCAGACAATGCTAAATGTTCAATTCCTACAGTTACATTTATTTCATCACCCTGATGAAATAAATTCACCACTCACCTGTGGAAACTCCCTCAGTTAGACTGACCATTCTGACCATGAAATGCACCCAGTAAGCATCACCAAATCATGGAATTATCTAGATTGGAGAAGATCTTTAAGAACATGGAGGCCAGGCATTATCACAGCTTGCACAGGTCTTTCAGGTTTGATGGGTTCTATCTGCACTGATGTCTGGAAGCCAAGGTTACCATCAAAACAGAGGAATTTTGTCCTGGAGGCTTTCTCAGTCACAGTGCTATCCAGTTCAAAACAAAACCAGGGAAAGGAGCTGCCCTCAACTGTTGGGAAATTGTAGATACAGCCATTCTGAGGGGGCCACAGCCTTTTATAAAGAAAACAGACCCTTCCAGTACACCAAGGTTCAGTCTTTGCTTGCCTTCTTGTCCTGTGCCAGTCCATCAAGGCCTGAGACGGCATGTGCAGTGATTAAAACTTTTTTTTTTTTTTTTTTCCAAGCACTACCTATCTAAATAATGGTTTAATGTTATCTGGTTATTTTTTTTTAGGGTCATGTAAAGCTGTCTGATTTTGGGCTCTGCACAGGTTTAAAGAAAGCCCACAGAACAGAGTTCTACAGGAACCTCACACACAACCCACCAAGTGACTTCTGTGAGTATGAGCTGTCCTAGTTTAATATGTAAATGGTTTTGAGTTCCAGCTGTACATTATACCTGTGTTTCTGCTGGGATAAGCAAGATGGGGCAGGCTGATTGCATTTAATTGGAAAACTGGAAATGCTTGTTCCCTAGGTCATGGGAGCATTTCACAGGCAAGAAATGATGATTTCTGCAGTGGTCATGTACTTTTTCATGTTTGTACACAGATATGAATACACATAACATAATGTATCTATATTTAATGTATTTTTCATAATGTCAGTTAAGTTACAGAACTGCTCTTTCAGGAGGGACATGGGTTCTATGTGCCAAAGGACTAAAGTCAGTGACAGTCTCATGAAACTTTTCAGAAACTGATCAAAAAATTCTAGCAAGTTCTAATTTAGAATTGCTCATATGTGTCCTACTTACATGAGTTTCAACTGTGCATTGAACAGCAGTTATTCTCATGTTCCTGTTTTCAGTTATAATCAAGTGTTTGTTCTAGACTAAAGGATTCTAAATAAACAAAATAGTTATTTAAAATTGGAACCCTATAAATGTTTTTTCTCTAAATTCTCACAAATACATTTGTTATTTAATAACTACTTTGTAAATTAGCATTTCAGAATATGAACTCAAAGAGGAAAGCAGAAACATGGAAGAAGAACAGGCGACAGCTGGTGAGTTAAATAATGTATAATTCTTGTTTTGCTTTTAAACTATTTACAGGAAGTGTTAAATTAAAACTCAGTGCTAATGCTCCTGGTTTTTAAAACCTGCAAGGCCCTCATATGTGCCTCTCTACAAGCTCCCAAAATCACAAATAACTCAAAAGAAGGGGGTCCAGGTTGGAATAACAAGCCCCTGCTCTTCCCTATGCCTTTGTTTGCCTTGTGAGCATCTGGCCCAAGCCCTCAAGTGTCCTCATTCCCTTGGCCAAGGTGTGTCTGGAGCTCTCTGAGCACAGACCTGGTGTGGACCATGTGGACTCCTGGCTCTGTTTCCTGCAGCTCAGTTACAAGCAGATGTGTAGCTGCAGGATTCCTTTTTAGAGAACTCTGGACAGTTCCCATTCTGCTGAATGGGAATGTGGTGGAAAGGCTGTGAGAGGCTGTTGGTGCTGGAGTGCTCCAACTTGGTTTTGTGATGAGGAATGGTTACATAATAGGGGGACTTTTGGCATGAACTGAACCAAAGCAAAGTGTCTGACAGCCAGGATTTCAGACTTTCATCCTTGCCCATGATTTTCACCAAAAAAACCTCAGCTATTGCAAATTTTGCAATCTTTTATTTTTCCACACCCTTTTAAGAAAGTGATCTACTGCAGTATTCCCCAAAAGCTTTACAGTGGTCTCTTCTTTCCTCATGAGACAAAAATGATATTTTGTTGCAGCCACCATGCTGCCTCATGAGGCTGTATTTCACAGCCTTATTCCAGCCTGGAATTAGATCCGTGAAAAGACTTTATCTCTAGTCCAGTAAAGGCTGATGTGGCAGAACTGTGTGGTGAAGAACAATCCCACAGAGATAACAAAAGGCCAAAATGACAACTTGCATCAACACTGTTGGAAAAGGAGCCACATTTTTGGTTTTCCATTGGCTCAGTCCTGAGTTTCTCGCGTCAGCAAAGTGCTTCTTTATGGTCAAACAAATGAAAGTAAAATATTGTTGTGGCAAAACTGCTTTTAGGGGATGTTTTGATCTGTAAGGGATTTTTGTTTTGGTTGGATTTTAGTTTTTTTTCTCTCCCTCCTGCTTCATGGAAGATTTTTCGTCAGTAAAGAGGAATTCCCAATACACAGCTTGTGTATCATCAGCGCCACGCTTGGGAAGCTACCACTGATTATGCCTTTGAAAATAAACAAAGACCACAACAATAGAACTTCTTGGGTATTTTTGTAAGGCAACTACCCGAAACTTCAGCCAAGATGACCTTCTGATACTGCAGTTGCAATATTCTATGAATTCATCACATTAAAGAGCGTGAATTTCATTTATTTTTGAGGTTCTTTGTGCTTATTAATATAAAAGAATAATATTCTTGGGGTTTTAGTTCCTGTGAATTCTCAAATTAAGCATTCTTGCTCATTCAAGCAACAAGATCCAGTATGTAAATCCCCAGGAAAAGATATTGCAAAGTGTAAAATCTCAGTATTCCTCTTCTAAAGAGATGATTCCTTTTTTCCAGGCATATTCTACTGTGGGAACCCCAGACTATATTGCTCCAGAAGTGTTTATGCAGACTGGGTACAACAAGCTGTGTGACTGGTGGTCCTTGGGAGTGATTATGTATGAAATGCTAATAGGTATGTTTAAAACCCCAACTTAAGAGTTGTTCAAAGGTAACAGGATCCATTTGTTCAGAAGATAAAACCTCTGGCTAATACTTATTAAATTTGGGAGCCCCAGTGACAGAAACAGAGGCTCAGGTCACTGTTCTCCTGGAAAAAGTTTTATTGGCTTTTTATTTGTGCAGGGTATCCACCTTTCTGCTCAGAAACGCCACAAGAGACTTACAGGAAAGTTATGAACTGGAAAGAAACGTTGGTATTTCCTCCAGAGGTGCCCATTTCAGAGAAAGCAAAGGATTTAATTCTAAGGTTGGTAAGAAAAACCCAATTCTGGCCTCTTGCCCAGCCAGGGTCATCTTCCATCAGGGTAAATTCCTGTTCTGTGTGAAGGAAGCTTTATGTTGGAGGGAAGGCTGGTTTCTTCTGTCACCATCCTTGATGGATTTTTTTAAGTCTTTTTCCCTTTGCCATTTGTTTCACATGAAGGAATAAGCTGGAATGATCTTGATTTGTACTATGGCATAAGAGCAGACCAAAACTAAAGTGATCAACACAGAATTTTTTTTCTTCTCAGAGGTGGCAAGAAAATAACCACTCACCAGCATTTAATACACTGACCAGAAACCTTAGGATGTTTTGGATTTACTCACTTCTTTCAAAATACCAATTTTTATTAGTTTGCATTGAGGTTTTTGTGAGGGTTTTGATGACAAGGACAGGTATAAATGCTCTCTTGTCCTGGGAGGGTTTGAGGGGCACATTGGTTTGGGGTTTGATATTTGTTCCTTTTTTTTCCTTTTCAAAGCTAATGTTACAGCCTTATAGAATTCTGTTACAGGCAAAAGGGGAATGTACTTCACAAAACTAGAATTTATTATTAGTTCCAGCAGTGCTCCTACAAGACCTACAAAAACATAACAAATACAAGAAACAGTTATCCTTCATCCAGCTAGTGATATTAACAGCTCAAATAATTGAATTGTTGCTAACCCTCATTAATAAGTTCGTGTAAAACAATTATATTGCATTTTCAGTATCTAGCTCTTTACTGTTCTGCTCAACCTTCCTTGTCAGCATCCCAAGTTCTTTGCTGAACAGAATACAGCATTAATGCTGAGGATTTCTTCCTCCTCACAGCCTTCCTGGCTGTATTTTTTTAAAGATTTCAGTGTATTTGTTAGCATGGCTTGCTCATGCATCTACTTACACAACTGCTTGAATTTATCAGTTTGCCCTCACAAGGAGAAGGGTTAAAATTGGGGTGAAACATCTTAGTTATAGGTAATCTATTAAAATTAGGTCAAAACAGGTTGGAACAGCAGCCACCTGAGCATTTTGGGTTCTTTGTCCATTACAGCTTGGACAAGTTGGGCAATGTGTGTTTTAGCTTAAAGGGAGATGCAGAGAAAGCTAAAGGGTTATGGATAGAGGTAAATCCAAACTAAAATAAGCTCAAGTTCAGACAAAGTCTGACAAATCCTGTGTGAGTGTTGTTAAAAGGTTTGAGGACTGTTGTTAGTCCTTGGCACCACCCAGCCTACTGGGCTGCAATACAAATACAGGCAGGTTTTCTGCCTCTCAGACACCAAACTACAAGCAAAAGAACTTTATAATTGGCGACAGTTTATAGCCTAACCTGCTGTGCTACATATGCAGGAGATGGCTGGGATTTAATGAATTCCTAGGCAAATGCTGGTATTCCCATCTCCTGGATGAAATACTTGAAAGGCTATTCCAGTCTAGAGGAGAAGGGTCAGCCTCTGCTGCTCCCTGGAACAAATCCTGAGGTCACTGAGTTGTTGTCAGAGAGTTTCCACCTCCCTGTTTTCCTTCTTCAGGATTTTAGGCTTTTCCTGTCTGGCCTGCTAGAGCAGTTAACAGCCCCCATCTCACCAATCCTGTCTCTGTCTCCAGTTTCACCTTTTCCTTCCTGCTATTTCATGTCTGCTTCTCATAAACTGACAATTTCTTGTGAGGTCTGAGATTATGCAGGTTATGTCTGTATGAGAAACAGGCCCTGGGTCTTTGCATCACCTCCACCTCTGAGGAGAGGGAAGGGGTAGAATAGGGACATGGCACTTTTGGAATGGGGTAGCTCACTGGCATTCCAAAATATGACATCAGAGAGAAGTCCTGATATACAAAGTATATCTATTTTTCATAGTATGACTTTGAATCAGGGATGTTTAAATAGTTGAGAACATGCCAGAGGAGTTCTCGGGAAAGCCTCCATCCCAAACTGATCTTACAGGACCAGAACATGCAGCAACTTTTCACCTGCAAGATGGGGATGCAGCAGTTTAGAAAAGGTGTTATTGGCATCATAGCTTTTTGTTTTGGGATTTAATGATGTTCTGCTTCTACTATTTCTCTTCTCTCCTAGAGGCATTGGCTGCTTTGATATTACTCCAAGTGGTGGAACAATTTGACAGAACTTTTTGAAATTCTTGATACTGGGTACTGTTGCTTAGGTTCCTGTTCAAATTTATTGTAACATTCCCTTTGTTCTTTCCCCTTTTCCAGGTTTTGTATCGACTCAGAAAATAGAATTGGTAGCAATGGAGTAGAGGAAATAAAAAGTCATCCATTTTTTGAAGGAGTAGACTGGGGACATATTAGGTATGTATATACACATGTTTTACAGGGAGAATAAAAGCCATGAAAGCAAGAATTTCATGTAGTGCGATGTCAAGGACAATTATTTCCAGTTTATCTTTCATTTTGAAAGGCAGCTACTGGCTATAGATGGGGGACATTGAAGGTTTCCAGGCTTTGCTGACATTCATAGAAATTATCAGAATTTAACTGTCTTGAGATACCTCAGATTGCTCCAGACTGCCCAGAATGGAAAAAAAAAGTTGTAGGGTGGCTGTGGATTTAATTGTAAGCGGAGTAATTAGAGCTGTGGTGAGTTTACAGGTGTAAATCACTGCCTTTCCCACAGTTCTGTGTCCCAGTGTGAAGGTTTTGGTGGAACAGATTCCATGGGGCACTTTTGAAAACCACCTTAAAATTCCTTCAAGGGCTCCCTGACTGTAGAGGTGCTAAAGCAGAGCCAGCCTGGTTTGGGAGAGAGCTGCTGAGTGTCACAAAGAGGAGCTACACTGCAAAGCTTTTGGATGTGGTCCAGGCTGATGAGCAAGGAATTGTAAAGTTTTGGGTGCAAGTGCAATTGTGCTGGGCTGTGTTTGTGAAACAGGCAAACCACAGTGGTGGCTGGTGATAAGATCATGGTCATAGCCGTGTGGCAGGTAAGTGTGGGATGCTCTCTCACTTAATGGGAAAATGATGTTTGCCCCAAGCCTGCCAGGAAGACACCAATGGGGACGGGGAACCAAACAATCTCCCCACGGTGTCAGCAAACAGGAGAGTCAGATTCATCTGTGATGCACTCAGTGGAACCCTTGTGCTCTGCATTAAGGGAAGTTGTAGGTAAAAAGCTAAGTTAAAACTGGAACTTAATGTCTCATTTTCCAATATTCACTCTTCTGACATTTATCTTTATTTGCAGGGAAAGACCAGCTGCAATCCCTATAGAAATCAAAAGTATTGATGATACTTCCAACTTCGATGAATTTCCTGAATCGGACATTTTACAGCCAGGTGAGACTGCCATTATAAATTCCAAATCTCCATCTGTGACATGCCAGAATACTGCCCAGATGCCTTTGTTGTTGTTTATATTAATTTTTATGATGCCCCAATCAAGTTAGCATCTAGATCAAGTCTCTATATTTTCTTTGAAATTTGAGCGTGAACTTGTGATCTCTCATAGCTGCAAAGCCCAGTGTGAGTCAAAGCCATTGGTAAAAATGGTTTGCACAGGTAGTGAACACAGAAAGCAGTGGAGTTTTCTGCCAGGCAGTCTGTCTAACCAGATTCTGGTGAAATGTCATGCACTGATTTGCTTTTCATCTTCAGTGACTTTTGAGGTTTGTGCCAAACATAATGGTTGAGATATTTGTGGGTAAGAATTTTTAGACAGTTGATTACTTAACACAGTAATTCATGAACCTGAGTGGCTCATGTAAATCACTTAATCAGTAAATCACTTCAAGGTTTTCTTTAGGTTGGTTTTGTGACATACGAATAGTCCCACTGTTTTCAGTTACTTGAAGATTGGCAGATGTTTAACAGCGATTAACTGCTGTCTGCTAAGTGTAGCTGTGTTACCAACAATAACAATTATCCAAAAGCTGTTGATTATTTTTTTTTTCTGAAATGGCTTTTATTTAATGGTGAGGAAGTTTGTCCTTTTGATGCAAAGCAACCCATCTCCAGTGCCTGAGCTGGTTAAGTCCATACTTGGATAATGCCAAGAACATTTATATTATGTTGGCATTTCAGACCCACTGAAAATGGTATTGTACATGTAGATACATAAAAATCAGAACATCAGAAATGTCATGGGGTTTGTAGTTTTCTGTCCTGTAGGTTTGTTCAAGGCTTCTGTCAAGGTATGGAAACCTAATAGAGTGCGTAAACATAATGAAAAAAAAAAAAAAAGGAAAACAAAAACTCCTCTCTTTGGAGTTCTAGCCTGAAATTATGTCAGACCATTGACAAAAGGCAACTGACCTGATTAGAAACAGGATTTCTTCCAGGAGTTTCTGCTGACTAAAGAAATAAGAGTTCAGGGCTGTTTAGCTTTGTGAAAAGTCCTCTCAGAAGCAGGCTGGGTTTAACTGCTTTAATGTGTGTTTGCTTTTGTTTCTGAATTGTAGTGCCAAACACGACAGAACCTGACTACAAATCCAAAGACTGGGTTTTCCTCAATTACACCTACAAGAGGTTTGAAGGGCTCACCCAGCGTGGCTCCATCCCTTCCTACATGAAAGCTGGGAAGTTGTGAAACAGAACACAACCCCCAAAGGAAATTACAAACACAAACCTCAGGTAGCTGCATCACCAGGCCCGCTTGGCGTTAGTTATCAACACATCGACTCTGGTGCGCATCAATTTCACATGGAAATTCTACAGGATTAGGATTTCTAAGACTACTACAGGAATTAGTTGGCAGTGCCAGCTGGCTTTTTTTTTTTTTTCCCTTTTTTTTTTTTTTAATATTTGAATATTTTTGTTAACTCTATAATACAAAGGTACTGGAATAAAAGGAACATGCATCCCTTTTTCTGCACTGCCTACATGTGGATAACGGTTAATTATGCCTCTCTGTACTGTGGCTTTGTTTGTACTGTAAACCATCTAATCCACCCAGGAGGAAAACATATCATTTGATGCAGCATTGTTGTTGTACTGCTCACCTGGTGGGGTTTAGATATGCAGTATAAAGAAAACTGTCCACATTTGCAAACCTCCCTGAGCAGTTGCTCAACGGTGTTCCATTTGTGGTCTGCAGATCCCCCATGAGTATAGCACATGGAATTATTTTAAATAGCAGTGTCCTCTGGGCCTCCTTGTGTTCTGTGTGCCCTCTCTTGCCCCCAGTGCAGGACTTTATCAGCCCTTTATCATCATCCCTTCTGTCCCTTTTCCCACAGTGTTGTGGCAGTGAAGCAGTCCCTGTGATCTGTTTAGTGGTATTTCTGCATTAAATGATTGTTGGCAGTATTGCTGTTAGAGGTGGTGATGCCTGCCAGCAATTTCAGAAGAAAAAAAGGAATCTGAATAAAAAGTATGAATATTTTTAGCAGAAGGGAAATGTTCTGATACAAAGTTTTAAGGAGATTGCAGAGTTTCCAAGAGTGCATTCCTGCCTCTGCTCTAAAGCAGATCATCTTTGAGCTGCTCATAATTCAAACACTTTCTTCTCTCTCTGCAAAATATGTTCCAGAGAAGTGATCAGATTGGTGCTTTTTCTTTTTTTTTTTTCTCCCTGAGCAGCTGCAGGCAGAAGTGATGATCCTGCTCTGACCTCTTCAAAATCGCAGCCTCTGCTCATGTAGAGAAAATGGAGTGTCCCGCTAGACTCAGACTCTCCAGTGGGCTCTTTTTCTTCCAGGATCTCCACCTGGCATGGCCATGGGATTAGAAGGGATCAGCTGAGCCCTGCAGCCCAATTTCCAGGGACCATCTAAATGTTCTTGTGGCCAGTCTGCAGGATGGTGACAACCTGACAGCTGAGCCAGGTCTTCCCATAGGCAGAGGAAACAGAAGCAGAAATACCTCCATGTGCAGGCTCTGGTTTCGTTCATCAGCGCAGCAGCAGCAGTTCAGGACTGATTTGTACTCCCTAAGCAGTTTGCAATTATCTGGTCACTGGTGTCTTTCTCTGCCTGTACTCACAGCTTATCTGAAGGGCTTTGAATCTGTCAAAGTACAGCAGAGATCTCTGGTGTCATTTTCTGGTCAAAAAAGATGTACAGCAATTCCCCAGTGGCTGAGCAAGCAGAGTCACTGTTGCTGTTTCCCTCCTCTGAACACCAATGAAAGGCACCCTAAAACCTTTGCAGCCTCCTCTGAGTGGAGCACAGGATGTTTTGGCATACAGCAGGAAAGATTCCATTGGACAGTCTTTCGTAGCAGTATGGAACCTACTGTTATAAAGCCATTAGAGAAATATTTATTGCTGTTAGGCACTATGGTATCAGCTGTTCTGAATTAGTTGCATGCTCTGAAAAACCTACTGGGATCTTCACCTGTTGCATAAGAGCCCATTTGCCAGCAAGATTTCTGAGCATCAGTGCCTGTGATGGACAGGTAGTCTTCTGTGATCCAGCCAAGATCCCTGATCCAGCCTTTCCTCCATGGTTTTGTCTCCCTTGAAGCATCCAATACCTGTTATTTATACCAAACAGTTTCAGTCTTCAGCTTCTCAAAGAGGAGGCCCATCCAGTGTTATATGAGAGCAAAGCTAAGCTGAGCTTCTGCCTGAATGCTGGACTGAGGTGGGAGCAGCTCCTTGATCTTCCAGATTTGCTTTCCAGACCTTTCACTAATTAACATCTCTTTACTGCTGCTGGGGCAAGGTCCTTAAAAATTCTCCAGTTGTTCTTAGCCTTGTCAGTATGCTGAGGCTCAACCTGTGGCCATCCAAAGGCTGTACAAAAACAGTAACTCACTTAAATCCACCTTTCAGGCATTGTTCTGCTTGTGCCCCAACAGCTCCTGAGGCTTCTCAGGAAAGGAAATGCCTTTCCTAAGGTCTTGACTCCAAAATAGGGAAGGTCAGACAGAAAAAAAATCCTGAGATGCAAACTTGGTCCCAAAGGACACTGCTATTCAAAACTATTTTCATTGGTTTTAATTTCCAGTCTCATCCATGGGGCACTGTGTGCACTGGAATTGGAATTCCTGCAAACACCACCTTTCAGAAGAGCACAGTAAACCCATTAACGTGACCTACAAAGAAGTCTTTGCTCAGACTTGTTGAGACAAGCTCAGTTTCATGGAAACTGCAAATGCTCAGTGATACTGGTGATCTATTTTTTCCTGTGGGGCTTAGGGGAGGGCAGAGAAACACACACTTAATTTAAAGCTATCTATTAAACAACTATGTCTGTACATACTCACTGGTTTACAAACTCGGGAAAAAGCTCAACCCTTCTACTTGCAACACTAAAGATAATGCTAATTTAAAACTGCAGATGATTAATCATATCAGTGCTCACATAGGAGTTATATCCATAAGGAAACAGCCTGCAGCCTATCTAGCATAAACTCCTGTATTGTGGTAGTTGACTTTTAAATTTTTTTTTTTGTAAACATAGCATTATTTTAATCAATAAGTCAAGTTAAACAATATTAACTACTGCTTTTAGGATGATAGGGGTTTTATTTAAAGGTGAAACTGTGACACTGTAATGGGTTAAAGAGAACAGCAGGTTAATCTGCACTGGCTTTCAAAAACAAAAAATGGAAATGTAACATATCTTTAATTTTGTTATTTCTGTCCGATTCCTTTGGATGGTTGTGTGTTTTCCTTTGGCAATGTTTGTCACTGTGCCATTTAGTTTTCTTATTCTTGGAGTACCAAAGATCCTGAAATGGCTTGATGATTGCAACCATGTGAAAATTTATTTTCTGGAAGTATGTTTTGTTAAACTTTTGTTAAAACGTGAAATTGTGTATGCAAATTGTTATCACAGGTTTGCTGGGACATTTACCTATTCCAGCAGGGAAAACTTGAGTGCATCGATGGAAGTGGAGAGCCTGAATCCAAATTCTGGATCAGAATTCCCTGAAAGTGGGGAGGAGGCTTGGATTGGGAACTGCAGCTGAGCTTTTGCACTTTGTTCCATCTCCAGTCAGCATGAGTGAGTGGCCTTAGGTACAGGACATCAGCAGAGGTTGTCTCATGTGCAAAAGGAGTTAAAAACAAAATTGCCAGCATTCAGAAATCAAATCTTGTTGATACTGAATTTGCACTGTTCAATTTGCCTTGCTGGAGAGTTAAAGAAGTGTTATTTTTATAGGTCAATTGTTCCTCACCTGAGCCGTTGGAGACAGTCTGGGATAAGGGCACCTGCTGGGGGGAGTTCAGCCAGGGGGCACCAGGAATGGGCACCAGGAACAGCACCCAGCTCTGCTGTCAGCTCCTTTCCCTGGTGACATTCCTTGCCCAGCAAGCAGGGAATGCTGCAGTCTAGCCCAGGTGATGCTTAGGAAGTGCTCTCACTTTCTCCATAACACGAGCAATTACAGGCGTAACACACCGTACCTTGTCCTTTTACTGTTGGATCTCACAGCAGCTCGTTCTTGGAGTCAAAATGGTAACTGCTATATTTTTCCTAGACTGTTTCATTAGTTGTGGTTGGGAAAGTTACATAGAAGCATTATAAAAATTTATATGAGGCTTTTTACAGCATTTGAAAATAAATGTAGCATTCTTTTTGTAAAGTTGCAGTTTTCATTTCTTTCACCTCAGTGTACTGGATTTCTCTTCCAGAATGGGAGACATCTAAGGATTTGAGGTCCTATTTTGTGGATTCTCATCTTGAATTCCACGGACAATGAAACATCCCAGTGTTGTTACACTCAATCAGAAAGCAGAGAAAGCAAATACTATTTGATTTATCCCACCTGCAGTCACATGAAGAAGCTACTTCTCAAACGGTTACTGATCTTCTCCAGAGTCTTACCTCTCCCATAGGCTGTAATTTATCTAGGAAAGGCTTCCAGGGGCAGTTGTGTCCTTTCATCTACTATAGAAACCTTTCTGTCCTACTGTTCCACTTTCCCTGCCAAGTTCAGAGCAGCAGCAGAAGCAGTGAAAATTGTATTACAAAATGATCAGAGTGGAGCAGCTGAAAGCCAAGAGAAGTGAGCAGACACTGCCTGGCCTTGTCTGGAGCCCTCCTAAGAACAGGAGGCCTCCTTCCCTCCACTCCAGAATTGCTGCTCTCAGTAAAGGTAAAAATACAACAGAATTTTGCAAATTCTATTTAATGTGATCATCCTTTTCTTCCCTTGACTGTATATGATTGTATGGCAGAGCTACACATTATAAGGAAATACAGATTTAGTTCTTTACCTCCTTGCATTATCAAATCAGGTATTCCTCAGAAAAAGCACTTGAATGGCAAATAGGCTATGCCTTCAGCAGGAGTAAGCCTCTTTTTAACTCTTATCTTAGTTTAGGGTTTGTAAGACATACTGCAAATATCTACGTTTTTCACTCCTTTGTTCTTGTATGAAGTGTGCCTGGTACCTAAGCAAAACAATAATGCTTTAGGCAAAAAAAGGTTTTTTCTGACAATCTTCCTAAGGGATGAATATCCAAAACTGTCTGTCTGTCTCAGGAGTGAGGACAATAGTGGCATGCAGCTCTGGACTAGGCAAGGATGTGTTTGCAGTTCAGGAAGTGCTTCATGTATTTGGAAATGTAGAAGGCTTTGGAAGGGCTGCCCAGGGATGTTTGGAGTCTCCATCCCTGGAGGTTTTTAAGGAAAGACAGGATGTGGCACTCAGTGCTCTGGGTTGGGCAACAAGGTGGGGATCAGTCACAAGTTAGACCCAACAATCTTGGAAGTTTTTTCCAACCTTCATGGTTCTGAGATTCCATTTCTCTAAAGTAATGTGATTCATCACACAAGTAAATTGTAAATATCAGAGAGGTACTAAAATGCCTGTCCCATAGCTGAATTTCACAGGTGAAAGTGGGTTTTAAAGTCCAGCCTGTGAGTCATGCTGGTTTCAGCCATGCCAGGCTCTGCAGCGTGGAATGCCTGC